CAAGACAGTGGAAAGGTGCTGTGTCCGAGTTTGTGCCTGTCTGTGCTAGCAGACTATGTGGAGCATGCAACAGTGGCATTCGCCAGCACTTGAATCTCCAGGGACCAGCTCAATTGTCCCCCACCCTTCCAGCCAATGCCCCCCAATCAGCAAATCAATCCCCCTCTCATATAGTCTAGGTGCTTTTCAAACTGCTGTTTTGTTCACTGGGTCTCAGGGCAAGAAAGACCATATATGAGCCCTCCAACAGGAAAAATCTCTGTTTCCTGTAGCACTTTGGAATTCCTGGACATCAGCCCCATTGAGTTTGCAAGCCAGATATTGTGTAGACTTATCTTTCCCAGATCCCAGGGGTTGGGGTGCCTGATGTGGGGCACTGACCCCTCACTCCTCCAGGAGAAGCACTCTCTGGTGAGAACCCTCCCTATTATGTCTCACTGCCCCAGAGGTGGGGTTTTTGCGAGATTGTATATGTGCCTCTCTACCCTTCTCACTGTGGTCCTCTTATCCTTTGCTGTGGAGAGCAGTTCCATCTAGTTTTCAGCTCTTTTTCAGAGGGAAATAATCCATTTGCAGCTGTGAAATTGGTGAGTCTATGAGAGGAGGCGCGTTCAGGATATTCCTATGCTACCATGTCGGACCTCCCCTCTAATTTATTTACATTTAAAAACTGATGCTCAGTTCAGTTTTTGAAAACTTGTAATTATGTTTGGAACAATTGAGTATATGAATCTAATTTTTCAGATATAAATTTTATGCAATTTACATACAGTTAGCTTTTTACAGTTTAAGTATTTTCATTAAAAAATTAGGTTCCAAATTTGTATTGTAAATGTAAAATATACTCTGGATTTTGAGGGGGGAGTATATTAGGTTAAACAAAATATGATGTCAAAAATACTTCCACATGTGTCTTTTTACCTTTTTTAATGTGGCACTAGAAAATTAAAAATCGCACATGTGCTTGCATTGTATTTCTTTTCCTCTTCCTGTTCCAGGCCCGACCAGGACAGACCTGTCACCTGGGCTTGGCCAATCCAGTGCTCCCCAGAGCATGAGGAAGCAAGGCGGGGACAGAGAGCTCCCGGGTGGGAGTGGGGTGAGCCGCTGCAGGGGTTGCTCTTCCCACCAGTGCCCTGGTGAGATTCTCCCGGCTTCCCTAGTCTTCCACCTACATGCCCACGTCTCAGATTCCCTTCTGCTCACATTAGCCAGTCTCTTACTAGCGTTTGCAGACAAACACTCTTTAACAGACATGAGCAGGACTTGTCAGGAAGCCAGTCTCTACCCTTGACCCAAGTTTCACCAGAATTCCTGGGGTATCGTGTTACCCCTGAAGTCCCAACCCCTGGGGCCAGGGCAGCTGAGTCTGCATCAAGTTCCTCTGGGGATCCTGATCCTCAGTGGGGTTGACAAGCACTGCTTTAGGACTTCTTCTAAGCATCCACACAGCCCGGGGTGAACGTGAGCCTGTGCTACCACACCTCTGCTATGGAGGTTAAGCAAACTTTCTGGGACCCCTACCCCTCTGCAGCCAGAGGAATCCCATTCACGTATTCAACAAATATTTACTGAGGACCCATTATGCACACTCCAGATGTTGTCCTGGATCCTAGGGGTAAAACAGTGAACAAAACAGACAAGACCCTCTCTGCTAAAACATACTTTCTAGTGGGGGAAAAGGGGATAATAATAAACCAAATAAAAAAGAAAGGTATATAATATGTTAGATGGTGAAAGTTCTAAGAAAACTGAACCAGGGATTAAGGAATTTGCGTGCGTGCGTGCGTGCGTGCGTGTGTGTGGGGGGGGGGGGGGGGAGGGCATAGAAACATAGGTGAGATGATCACAGAAGGAACACCTGGGAATTTACATTTGCAGGAAAGGAGCAAGCCTTGAGAATAAGGGGTTGGGGGAGCTTCCCAGGCGAACAGAAAACAGGTGCAAAGACCCTGAAGTAGGACCTTGGTCGTGAAGTTGCTACGAAGTTCCTTAATTGGGCCACCCCCAACTTATGAGGCTAGTGGCTGCTCAGGGCTTCTGGGTGCTGGAAGCTGTCCCTGAGCAGCACTGGGCAGGGCCAGGGTCCCTGAAGGGGGAGGGGAAGGGGGTGGAGTCAGAGCTCTATACGTGGACGTGGTGAGACCTGTCCTAAAGATCTCCTCTCCCTTCTATAAGTTGGCGTGCCATTTTGAAACTGAAATTCAATCCTCAATTAAAGGAATCTCAGACGGATTTGGGGATGGAATAAGAAGCTTCTAGGCCTCAGACCACCTGAGGCCAGAGGGGGCTGCCCTGCTACACCCAAAATACTCTGTGCAAAGAGGAAATGTTAGCCTCTCCCCGGAGGCTATGTGCATTTTTCAACCAGCTGACCAGGAGCTGATACCACCTTTGATTCCCTGGCCAGGAACACTCACCTGATTTCCAGGGCACCTGTACTCCTGGTCTGCACATGGGGATGTGGACTTGAGGCTTGGGTCAGTCAGTCTATGTCCAAGTGGACAGAGTTTATGTGCCAAAGGACAGATAGTCTGTTAGCAGTGGGGTTTGATTTTTTTACATATGTGCAAGTAATCAAAAGTGAAACTAGAGTAGCCTTATTTCCGAGGAGTAGGTGGAAGGCTTTCCTTCCAACACAGTAAGGGAAGTTGAATGGATAGTCCCAGCCCACTGGCTTAAGTGAGAAAATCCAGGAAGGCTCACTGCACATTCTTTTTTTCTTTTAATTATTTGTATTTTGGTATCATTAATATACAATTACATGAGCAACATTGTGGTTACTAGATTCCCCCCATTATCAAGTCCCCCCACATACCCCATTGCAGTCACTGTCCATCAGCATAGTAAGATGCTATAGAATCACTACTTGTCTTCTCTGTCCCTGCACATTATCTCGTGAGAGGACCTATGTTAACAGGAAACAGTAAGTACTGTTTTTAATTTTAAAAATCTGGGGTGTTGGAGAAATAGCCAAAGGCCAATGTGGCTGGTGTGGAATGAGTAAGGAGAAAGAACGGTAGAAACCGAAGTCAGAGAGGTAAGGGCCGTGGCGGCAGAAGGCGTCCATCACCTGCACCTGACCCCCACCAGCCGGCCCAGTGAGTGAAGGAGGGCTGGCACGTGCCTTTTGTTGACCCTGTCCACGTGCCCATCCTCCATTTGGCTGGTACTTACTTAGGGTGTCTTGAGAGCGAGGCAGCTGTCCCCAATAATCACCTTTTGTCTGTTCACATATTTTTTGGTGAAGACAAGACAAAGGCCTTTGTTTCAGAGAGTTGACTGGAATGTGCATTGATTTTCTTCATGATAAACACATAACTAACACAGTGAGAAAAAGATAACTGAAAAAGAGAGAAATAAAAACACTGTGGCAGGATCATAAACCTTGAATGCTTTTGTCTGCTCCGAATTAAATGAGGATATTTCCCAGGATCCTGTTAATTTGGAAAACTGGAAAATTCTAACAGTCACTAAAAGTGTGCTTTTTCCTTAGGTATCCCAACTTCCCTCTGTAGCTAGAGCTGATCACAGCACTCTGATTAGATAGGATTAGACATCAGGAAAAATGAAAAGTATGTGTGTACTCCCCTGGATTATTAAATATTTGTTAAAATCTATTTCATCAACTGATTTGCCCAAACTGCTATGACCCCTACTGCTGGGGCACCCCAAGGCCTTTCTCAGTTCATTTTTCTCCAGCCACCTGTAACCCCCTCTGGGTTTATTGTCCAACCTGTGTTCATGGGTGGGGCTCAGGCTTCTGCTCTGTTATTTGCAGACCTGTAAGTAAATGCTTTGCCTTCTCACCGACTGCAAATCAGGAATCAGAGAGCATCTGTGCTCATGCATGCATTCATTCATTTTTATTTTTTAGTGCCTACTGGAGATCAGGTATGGTTCTAGGGATTAAAGAGACCCCCTAGTACACCAAAAAAGTGAAGTGAGTGACTATAGGAGGGAAAAAGTGGGGCTTACGCTCTTGTGAGAAGACAGACCACAAGTAAGTAGGTATCAAATATGAAATATGTCAGGAAAGTTGTGAGGAAAGTATGGCAGATCAAGAGGTGGAGAATGACAAAGGGTGTGGTGCTAGTTTAGAACAAGTGGTCAAGAAAGGACCCTTTGATAAGGTGACTCATAAACAGGAGTCTGGTGGATACCTCAGGTTAGATCTTCTCAGGCAGAAACAGGACCCCAGAGTCAGATCCTGGCTGTGGCTGTCTGTTGGGACATCAGACAGGAGACCCTGGTGGAGGGAGGGATTCAGGGGCATGGGCTCAGAGCGGCTGGAGGGGACAAGCACAGGCAGGGCCTGGCCAGCCGAGCAAGGACTTTGGATGGTATTAGAAGTGCGGTGGAAAGCCACTGCAACATTTTAAGACAGTCATGCTGGCTGCTGTGAGGAGAGACTAGAAGTCTAGTTAGGAGCCTGCCACAGCGGTGTAGGCAAAGGAAATGGAGAAACAGGTGCGACGGGCAAATGCTGGCCCTAAGCACTCACGGGAGGCCCACTGATTGGTCTGCTCCCCCTTTACTCCGCTCCTTGTGGAGGCACATCAGGTGGCAGTGAAGGAAACGCCTGGCCAAGGCTTCCTGGCTTGATTGAAATAGGGAGTTTGTTCACAGCAGACATTTTCTTCAATAAGTTTCACTTTATCCTTTATTTAAGACCTCTACTAATTCAAGTCCTTTCAGAAGCCTGGGGAAGAAATGTCTTCCTTCTGGGCATCCCAGAAACTGCTGTAGTTTAAGAATGAGAAAAGTGTCTTTCTACAAGCTTATCTATTAAAATACTTAAATGCTGCTGTTGGGCTTTGCAGCTTTACCCATACTTTCATTCTCTTGGGCAGAACGTGAGCTTGCCTATGGCAGGTAAGTAGACCACAGTTGTGGGGAGAGCTGGGGTGCCATGGACCTGGGGAAGCCTCTGTAGTCAACCACCAGTCAGGAAATGAGCTCCTCCATGATCAGCCGAACTTTCTGTTGTGTTCTCAAAGGTTAAAACGTCAACTACCAGACGCTGCCATGCCTCCCACGACGGCTTTCGTGTGTGCCTCCCACTGGAATTTCAGCGTCTGGCCGTCACAAGACCCTCCTTCCTGCTGCTGACCACTGGCTAATCTTGGAGAGGTTTTGATGGGTAGAGCGCTGACAGTTGAGCTCTTCTTCCTGCCACAAGGTTATTATAAAGGGCAACTTCTTATTTCAAAATCATGTGGTCCCAAATGTATGGTGAACCTGGCTTGCCAGCGCAGGGACTCCACCGCATGTGTGACTCCTGGTGACAGCTTGTGGAGACCCCAGAAGTGGCTCTGCAGCTCCTGTGCTGCAGCCATTCCATAGGTTCACTGTGACTGAGGCAAAGGGTCCTCTGATGTTCTTAGGTCATTCCTCAGAGACTGGAATAGTCCTGTTCAAAACAACACTTACTATTATTCTTTAACATTTTACCTGTACAGAGGGGAGAAGTGCACGTGAATTGCGTGGAGAGACATGCCCTAAGCATGGCTGCATGTATGAGGGACATAGATATAAAGAGACTAACTGAAAGTCGTCAGCTACCAATTTGGCCGGTTTCCTCAAAGACCCAGGAAAAAATTATCACAATATTGTAAGTACCAGACATAATCTTTAATTCTGTTGAGAAACAATCTGATTTCTTCCAAGTCACAACTTTTATTTATGTATATATTTATTTATTATGATTTGGTGATTAATTTTAATATTTTTATTGGAATATAGTTGATATGCAATATTATATTGGTTTCAGATGTATAACACGGTGACTCAATAATCACGCACATTACTAAATGCTCACCACAGTAAGTGCAGTTACCGCCACTACCATACCAAGGTATTACAGTATTATTCTCTGTGTTGTGCTTCCATTCCTATGACTTATTTTATAAATTGAAGTATGTACTACTTTCTCCCCTTCACTTATTTTACCCACCCCCCCTGCCCTCCTGTGGTAACTAACAGTCTGTTGTCAGTATTTGTGTGTCTGTTTCTTTTTGTCTTGTTTTTTCGCCTCTGCATACAAGTGAAATCATATGGTATTTGTCTTTATCTGCCAAGTCACAACTTTTAAAACCAGTAATAAGATTAATAGCTTGGGTTATAAGAGTTTATCCACTTGAGACAAGGATACCTTATGAAGTACTTTATCGTGGTTCACAAATACCCAAGTGCTTCCATATGGTTTCTGTGATTGTCCCAATAGATTTTGTGTACCTTAGTAGATAAGAGTCCTTTAGGTTTAAAAGTTAATCCCAATATACAGAAAGCAAAATGAGGTGCAGAGTTTAATGCTCAAAGGCAACTGTTTAAGACACCCCTTGATGCACAGGACTCAGGACCCAGGGCTTTGTCACGTGCCTGCTCCCCACCCCCACTCCAGGAAGACACTGAAATTATGGGTGAAATAATTTCTGGACATCAACAAATGTATGTGATGTATATGCTCTCTAAAGTTCTTAGAAATAAAAGTACTTTCATTTGAAATTTAAAAATTCACCAGTTACCTTTTCAGCGTGAATGCCATTGAAATAGTTAATGAAAAATGGGGAATTAATTTTATTTTATCCACTATATTTAAATTTTATCAACATGTAATTAACATTTAAAAAGTATTATGAGATATTTTACTTTTTTCCATACTAAATCTTGAAAATTTGGTGTGTATTTTACACTTACTCTGTTTTAGCTTGGATGCTAAATTTTGATTCAAAATATAATTGATTCTTAAATGAACATGGGTTTCAACTATGTGGGTCCACCTATACATGAATTTTTTTCAATAGATATATTGGAAATTTTTTTGGAGATTTGTGACAGTTTGGAACATTTTCCTTTCTGTAGCTTGGTTTATTGTAAAACTATAGTGTGAGATTAATGAGCTTAATATATAAATCAAGTAATATAGAAATCAAATGTATGAAGATTTGTGACTTAATTGTCTTTCCTACGACCTCTGATGTTTGGTCAAGGACAGAGTGATTAAAGCCATAAAAAGTTCCTACAGCTCCTGACCGCCCTCACATGGTTTCGGTGTCCTTGAGGAGTGTCCCGCCCTTGGGCTGGACTCAAAGATAGATGATGATCATGTGCTGAACCCCCTACTCAGAATTCTTCAGATATTCATTTACTCAATAAATATGAGGAGTGCCTTGGCATTACTCTTGAGCTGTTATGCCTTGAGTCCCCTGGCTGGTCTGTTCAGGTCTTCTATATCTCATCGCATCACCTCCTTAATCTGGGGGTCGGAGACAAAGAAGCCGACACTGTAGCATATAATATATATAACATACAACATTTGTGTTAATCAACTGTTTATGCTATCAGTAAGGCTTCCTTCCTGTCAGTGGTAGGCTATTAGTAGTTAAGGTTTTGAGGCATCAAAAGTTATACAGAGATTTTCGGCTGCATGTTGGGGAGTTGGCCCTCCTAACTCCCATGCTGTTCTAGAGTCAACTGGGGTTGCCCTGTATTTACAGTTCATAAAACTTAAATATGAAAAAGTCAAATCACATACTCAAGTTATGCTAAGCATACTTAAAAAAGTTTTCCAGTAACTGAGTTAAGAATTGATATTTAAATTTAAATTTTTAAAAATAAAGAAAACTCAGTTCCTTAGCTGCACTAGCCACAATTCAAGTGCTCAAGAGTTGCATGTGGCCAGTGGCTGCTATACGGGACAGCATTGACTCAAAGAGAAACAAGGCTGTTTCTTGGGGTGCTGCTACTGAGACAGGGACCGTGGGCTTAGACAGAGTAGGGTGAGGGCCTCCGGGAAAAAAACAAAGCAAGATATCCATTGTAGGATTTGCTTTAGCCTGCTGGGGGGCCCAGCTTGTTTTTCTGACTTTACCCAGGTGCTGCTTTTCTTCCTCCAGCCTAAACAAATAATTTGCAACCTGGGCAATATAGCAAGCAAGCCCACAACAACCTAGTGAAAACAGGAAGGATTTCATCTTGAAAATGAGATTGCACTTTAAAATGCAATTTGTTAAAAATTTTCTTAACATACTATTTAACAAACAGACAATAACTCAGCCCACCTTGGGAGCAAAGCAGGCCGCCTTGAGTGATATGCTCACAGACCAGGAAGCTGCTATCCTGGGTGGAAATCAGAGCAGTAAAATTCTTGTAAATATCCAGGAAGACTAATAAGAAATGTAATGTCTCTTCAAAGATAAACATTTTGGGACCACTTAGCAGGTGTACATCACTAGCCCTTTGTCTCTCAACTGCCTATAAAACCCCTAGGCAACGCACCACCTGGGACTCTCTTGTCCCCTCCTGGCCTGAGCCGGGAGCTCTGTCCTTTTGCTCTATCTCTAAATAAAAGCCTCTGCCTTGCTCTCCTACCTTGAGCGTTTGTGAAGTTCATTCTTTGACCCCATGAACAAGACCCCGGCATCACTACTAACAGGATGGCATTCAAGCAGACTATCCTTAATATTCTCTCAAAACTGAATAACTTGCTTGTCGTTTAAACTATCTACTATTCTCATCAACATATTGTAAATAATCCAAAATTTTCTTAATTGTGTTTTCACATTATAGGTCATGCTTTCTAGTAAACTTTAAACTACATTCAGATTTCATGTGTAAGTGCTTCCTGTTGAATTAGGAAGAGGCTTATACTGATACGAATTCTGAAATGACCACATAAGTCATGCATCTTTCTCCAGCGAAGCCATTACTACAAAGTTAAGCCAACCCCTCAAACCAGTGTTAAAAAGGACATCCCACTATATTTCTTACAAAGTAATGATTACCTATTCCTTGCATATTTATTCAAATTAACAATTCCTGAGAACAAAAAGTGAAAATATTTTTATGCCCCTGGTTTAGCTCTCCAATTTACATTAACTCTTCAGAAGTTGAGAGTTTAAAAAATAAATGCAAAACACTCAGGTATTAGACTGAATGACAATAGCTCTAGAAGTTCTTACTTATCTTAAACCTGTGTGACCCTTGAAATTATAAAACCTACTGATCAAAATAGATGCTCAAATCTTTACCAAGAGAGTAATTCTGCTCTCATACGGCCAAAAACAGAACTGATATTCATATTTCTGGAACCCATGACGTCTGTCCAAAGCCGAGATGGTGTGGCCTCCCTACTCAAGCCCCCAGCTTGGTCCTGAAGCTCCATTCTCCATCACTGAGAGGTAGACTTCATCAGGCCCATCTGCCAACCTTCAATTATACTTTGTTAGTATCTTTATTTTCTTCTTAAACAATTAGTGTCAAATTAGGCCTAATTAGAGTTCAAATTAGGCCTACCTGGACAAACAAAAGGGCAGGGATGTGGGAGTTACCACGGAGAGACTTGATACTTTAACGTCTGTCTCTATGATTCGAAGCCAGGACTATTAATTTTTGAAATCTTGCCAAGGTATTGATAAGAAAAGGCACAGTGAAAGTCAAGGAAAGGACACCCAAGGGCTTGTGAGATGCCACTTAAAGTTCCCACCTAGGGAAGCAGAATCTGAAAGGGCACAGTGCAGTGGGCTTAATCTCAGTCTTGCTTTGCTGTAGGCTACTAGAAGTTGCTAGAACTAAGAGGTCTTTTAGGTAAGCTACAAGCAGTGGAGTATAAATATGTAATACTTACATACTAGAACTATGCAGTACCACATATTTAATTCTTTCTTAAAGCTAAAAATTGATGGGGGCAAATCGGTGGGGCACCAGACTCTTAATTCCAGAGTGGCAGAGAAGGTGGTCCCATGCCTGTGTGGGGATGGACAGCAGAGAGGGTTCCTTCTTGACTCCAGCAACCAGAATGTGGGCAGGAGGTGGCCACCGGCATACACTACTGCCAACGGCCAGGCCTCCCTCCAGAGGTGGTGAGCCGTCCTTGGGACATACCGCAGCCTGGCTCTGGGCTCCCTTTTTGGCTGTCTCTGCTCCCGTCCTCTCCTTCCTGTTTCAGGGTGAACCCCCACGCTGTTTCTCCATAGCCCAGGAGCCCCAGTGTGTCCCCAGTGTAAAAGTTAACGTAATTGAGTGAAACGATAATGGTGTTCATAAAAGCAACTATATATTGGTACAGAGCTCTATATTGAAGTACCTATATTACTTTATTTAACCCTCAATTATACTTTAAGTTAGTATCTTTATTTTCTTCTTAAACAGTTAGTGTCATGGCAGCTACAGCTCTTTAACTCCAAGCCTATTAAATGTAGAAGGTTATTAAATGGCATCTACTCACATGTTAGCCAGAGGGAATCCTGGGAAACGCCTGCCCCTCTACACACTTGGGTGGCCTGATCAGTGACTGTGCTGACAGCAGGACGGGCAGTCACTTTAATTACTGCAATCCATATAAACAAGATATAAAAAGAATTTTCCTGTCTTAGACAATAAACATTGTGGCAGAATTTAATATAATTTGTATTTTCTTTGTGAAATGAAACAAGGGAAGTTTCCCACGTGCATTCTCTACTGAAACAGGATCTTTGATGAAAGCCAGCAGATCCGCTGCGAGGCTAATAGCCATATTTCAGTCAGTACAGCCCTTCTGGAAAGAGAGAGCTCTTCCAAATCACATTGTATTCATTTATTTATAACTTGCCGCGTTTCCAAAAGGATCTCAGGCAGCTGATGAATCACACCGATCACTTCAGAGAACATAAAACTGATTAGACTTCACTAATCAGTTTTCTTAGGGAAATTTTATTAGCTTTTAATAAACAGTCATATTCTTATTCCACATAAGGCAGAAACATAAGAAGGCCAGGACAGAGAGGCCCTGTATGAACTGTTAGCAGTATGTATGTATGTGGCAGTATAGCACTGCATATTTTGTCATCGTGATCACTCTTTACTAGAACCCTAGACTCAGGCAGAAGGGCTGGTTTGCCCAAGGTCACAAGGCTAGCAGAAAGCGACATACTGGGTACAATCCCAAATCTGTATAAAATCTAGGATTTTCCTCCTCCCTGTGCTGCATCTAAAAAATGCTGAAGATATTCCACATCCTGAAAACCATTCCCTAAAGCTAACAATGAAAGGAGAGCTAGCTGGGACATAACATAACCTTTAAACCAACATCACATGAAAGCTTCCAATATTCTGAGTGCCGTTAAGGCACCATGAAACTTGACATGCCCAGTGGGTGGGAGAAACTGGAGGCGGTTTGGCAGACGGTGGTCCAAGCGGCCCCACCTCTTTCTAGGACCCAGAGTGTCCAGGCTGTGGGCAGCTTTCAGGGTCAACAGGTGGATCTCCTCAAAGGCAAAGCGGCTTTCAGCAATCCAGGGAGCCATGACCTCCTGCAGGGGAGCAAAGGGTAGCGAGAAGGAGGTGGAGATGAGCTGGTGACTGATGTTTGCATGTAACACAGCCTTTGTGCTTCAGTGAAAATACTCTTGAGGTCAAGGACTGTTCCCAAGCCTTATTCTTACATATTTTTAGATGTAAGAGTTAAATCAGTTGATATACACCAGCCACCACAAACCTATGTACTGCTGCAGTTAACATTGGCAGATTTGGGGAAGAAATTTTTTATGCTTAGTTCTTTATTTTGGTATCTTAGTGTCTGAAGTCAAGATGGCTGAACCTAGCACTGCCTTACTGCCAAAAGTCCCCTCACCAGCCCTGCTACACGTTGATGGCACAGTCTCACTGAGACCCAGATAAATGCGTGGTGGTGGACCTGCTTATAGACAATCTTGATAATCTCCAGGACAATTTCAATGTGGGGGTGATCTAGTAATCTTATCTTGTGTTGTTATTTATTTAGTAAAAATGATCACTTTCTTTGGTGAACAGTTCATGAACTTTAAAACATGTATAGATTGGTGTAACCACAATCAAAATACCCATCTCCTACCCCCATCCCCTCTGACAACCACCAGTTTGCTCTTTGTATTTATGTTTGTTTCTGTTTGTTCATTTGTTTTGCTTTTCAATTCCACATATAAGTGAAATTATATGGTACTTGTCTTTCTCTGACTTACTTCACTTTGTAGGTGTTTATTTTTTGTAGTACTCTCATAACACTTTGTATTTCTTTGGTGTAGGTGTAACTTTTCTTCCATTTCTTATTTTATTTGAGTCCTCTTTTTCTTGATGACTTCGTTTCTTTTTTTCTTTTTTCTTTTTTTTGGTTTAAAACAAAGGCTTTTATTTAAATTTAGCATCAGGTTTAGCTATGGACTCAAAGAATCTTAGAAC